CCCCAAAACCCCAAAACCCCAAAGGTATAGTATAATAGATTTTTGAAAATAGTGAAAATCTAAAAGATATTAATTTAAAAATTGTAGAAATAAAGCCAATAACTGATCACTAAAAGCTATCTTTAAAATTGAAATTATCAGATGATTAATAAACACTTACAACTCTTTTTATAAAATAAGCTACTCAATGAATGAATATAGATGAATTAAAGCTAAATCAAATTATTTGCATTAAGGAATATCAATTAAGCAACAGTTTTGATAACAAAATATTGATAGTAAAGAGACCATTTAGTTTAGTAGAAAAAGTTGTATAACCAATTAATGAATTATTTTACAAAGCGAAAATTAACAATTTATAACAGAAACCAATTAATCCTGAAGAAATTGTATATAACAAATAAGAAAAATAACCAGAATTGAATGAACTTGAAATAATGGAATAAAAATGAGAATAGTAAATTTAATTAACAAAAAGGTAAATTTAGCTTTTAAACAGTACTAATTATACTCCATTCAAAGCACTCAATATGAATTCATGCGACTGGGTGATAAAAGCAAAAATTATGAAGAAATCTGAAAGGAAAATGTGGTTTAATGATAGAGGATAAGGATTGCTAATAAACCTTGATTTGATGGATGCTTTCGGTTCAACAATTTAAGCTACATTCTTTAAAGACGCAGTAGAAAAATACGATGAATTGCTTATAGAGGGAAATGTATATGTTTTTACTGGAGGTAATGTCAAATAGGCTCATAAAAAATTCAATAATATGAGTATTAATTTCTCTTTAGCATTTGATAAGTAAGCATTAGTTAAGGAGATAGAAAATGAGCAATAATCTTTTTAAAATTTAGGATGTCTTGATAATCTTAAAATGCTTAATGAAATCTAAAAACTCAACTTTGGACAGAAATGTGATTTTATTGGAATAATTGAATAAGTTGGGCACACTAATTAAATCCCTCTAAAAACTGGCGAAAAAAAATCTAGAGCCAATCTTATGGTAGCTGATGAATCAAACTGCTGCGCTTTACTTTGTATTTGGGGTCGAGATGATATTGAAATATAAGAACCGGACCCTAATAATCCTACTGTAATTTACGTAAGAAATGCTAAAATTGCAAGTTTTGGAAATTTCTCTTTAAATTCCAATGATGAATCAGTAATCATTATTAATCCCATATCTCTAGATGTAAAGGTCGACTAATTAAAAGTTTGGTATAGAAATCAAGGAAAAAGAATCAAACTGAAGCATTTAACAATCATGAATGAGTACTTTATGAATAACTTTGGTTTTACTAGAAATTTAAGATTACCATTTAGTACTCCAAACAGTATTGGAGCTCAACAAGACTATGTCTAGAATAATTGAGAAGAAAATGAAATTATTTGCAAAGCTAGACTTAAGCCAGAGAAATTTAAGACAATTTAAGAAATCCTTGAATACTTAAACATATAAATTCCTGAAGCTTAATACTAAAAGATAAATGTAGACAATTTGAAGTTAAAATTTACAGTACTTGGATACATATCAAAGATAAAATTGAATGAAAAATCCTATTATTAAGCCTGTCCTGTTTATAAATGCAGAAAAAGAATGAACAGAACACCTAAGGGTTTAGAATGTAGGACATGCCTAAAATACTATGATACCTTTGTACCTGCATACTCATTTTCTGCAACGTTATCAGATTTTTCTGATACTGTCCAGATATAGTTTTATAGAGGTCATGGAGAGGCATTATTAGGAATACCTCCTGAAAGATATCTAGAACTATAAGAAAATATATGATATGGTGGAGATAGTAGTGCCTAAGAAGAACTAAATGAACTATAATAAAGAAAAATCTTCAAAAATTACACAATAGAGATTTAAGCAGTGTATACGTCTCCAACTGCAGATAATAAACTTTCATTTAACTGCAATAGAATATATGGAGAAGAGCTTTGGAGCTCTTGCAACAAGTATATTTTAAGCTAGCTAAGTAGATATTAGTTCTGATGATGAATTAGCCGCAGAATATGATTATGATAAATATTTTTAAGATAGAAGAAAGAAACCGATTTTATTAGAAGATCAAATTTTACGAGTAGAAAGATAAAATTGACGATAGTATGTTTTCTAGTTAAATTTAAATCCAGAATGATTAATACTAAATGGATGCAAATATGAAGTAAATGCTTGAGGATGAAATAACTGATGAAATGATGTCTTTGATTGATTTTGACTGAAAAAATGTTTTTATTAATAAATTTTGCATTAATATGTTAGAGTCTCCTCATGATTTAAAGTAATTAATAATACAATTAGATATTTATAAAAACATATTTAAAAAGTATTTAATCTCAGTTATAAAATCAAAATATTATGTATTTTAACTCTAGCCATTATTCTCAAAGTTTTAAATTATTAATTCTTAAAACTTTAAGAAAACAATATTTTAATCATATTTCTGTGACTCAAAATTCTTTTCTACTAGGAATCAAAAAATATAAATGTTGTATGGCCATTGCTGAATATTTCTATCATCATATTCATTTATGAAATTAAGTTTTATAGCATCCGATTAATGTCTTAAAACCAAATATATGAATCTCTTGTACAGATGGCATTGTCGCCTATTTCATCTTTGTCGCTTCCTCTTTCACTGTATATTAGTATATTTATTCCCAACGATTGAGCCAGATTAGTAATATAGTAAGTAAGAAGGTTACCTCCGGGAACAACCATTCTTAATTAGAATTTAGATTATTTAATTTTTAAATACATTACTTTTAGATGAAATTTATAATAAAGTTACTTAAGAGAACTAATTAGATTAGTGTGAAATAGTATAGATTTCCTATAATAGTCACAAGAAAATTTAATATTTTAATTATCCAAATCAAACTACTCATAAATTTGACGATAATATTTTTAAGGGGTTTTGGGGTTTTGGGG